TCTTTTTACAAACCCATGATACTATATTTTGTACTTTATTTCTTAACAAGTACTGTACAAACAATGGCCAATGGGACATAGATGGTAATGATCGATCCGTCCCATACACGCCCCATTGCTATACCTACTAACCCTTAGCATTATTTATTAACTTGGGTTAGAGCCCAATTTTCACTAGGTCAATCACACGAGCCCATATATAGCCATTTGGACTTTAAAACATGAGCCCATCACCGAACATAAATCGGCCCATTATTACCCATCTTCTCAGTCCAGCCCATTATGACCGACGCAGCACCACGACGCACATTAGCCACTAGCCAAAATGGGGTCAATCTGAAATCCCACCCAGGCCGTCGGTTTCACTCACGACGATGTGGTTCCCGACAAAAACTCCACTGCACTCGTCCTTATCCCGCTCACATCTCGACTCTCATTCTCAGAAAATGTCAATTTACGTTTATAGGTAATTTATTGAATTTTTTAGTTCGTTTTAAATTATTTTTGTGATTTTCCTGGATTAAAAAAAAATGTATTAGGATGCTAGAAACAATTATAGGAAAGGGGGAAAGGAAAAAAAGGGAAAGAAGGGACAAAAATGAGAGAAGAGGAGGAAAAATAAAGAGAAATTGGGGGAGAATATCAGTTTATTTCGTTATCAAAATTTGTATTTATTATAATGCAAAATACCATGTATTTTAAGCCTCTGTTTGGTGGGCATTTTTATGGAGAGAATGCATTTTTTTGGCTGATGTGATGGGAAATATATGATTGAAAAAAAAAGAAAAAATTATTGATGTGATGAAAAATATTATTTTATTGAAAAATATTGTGTGGTTGAAGATGAATAGAAAAATGAGAATGAAAAATACAATATGGCTCAAACATGGGCTAAGCAAGAAAATATTTAATAAAAGCTATTAAATCAAAAGACTAATTATGTTTCCTAAGAGGAATATCAAAATTGAAAGCTAATTATAATAATATCTCTTCTAATATTCCATCACAACATGTATAGATTTATTTTGTGTTGATTGATATAAATATAATAAAAATTAAGCTGATTAAGCTCCTGTTTGACAACCACTATTTTCGAAAAACAATGTTTTAAATAGTAATTTTTAGGCGGATGTATAATTTAAGAGCAGGGAAAAAATTTGGATTTGTCTGCAGAATATTTTATTGTGTAAATGTGTGATTGAAAATGAGTATTTTAAAAAAAGAGTTTTGAAATAATGGTTGTGAAATAGGAGCGGTTTGATCTTGCAATATATGGTATTCAGTTCACTACAAACTCTGAGATTAATGTGAAATAATTTTATTGCTAAATTCCACGTTCAATAAAAAATCTTGCTGAAGTTCTTACCCTTCATAAAATATCCATACTTGCGTTGCCAAAGAATTCGAATTGCAGTAAAAACTTGAACTTAGAATCTAAATAGGTTCCATTACATTTTTTAATGAATCACAGGTTATTCTTGATTACAAGTTTTTCAATATAGTTTACGTTCGAGTTCTCAAGGTTTTGTGTTTGAAATCATTAGACGTGGTTTCTTGATAATGCTATTTTTTGCGAAGATTTTTGTGCGTCTTGAAACTCGAATAATAGCACGATGTCTCGTTGGCGTATACACTTTATGTATGCTATAATCTGACCCTCCCAAGTGCTTGATGGCAACTTAAATATTAAGTAAAACGTTTGAAAATTCACTTAAACTAGGTCTAGAGATCATCTATTTATATAATGGTTGTTGAAAAGAATTAGATAATTTATTAGTTACAAGTTAACGATACAAAGTAAACTACACAAGTAAATAGACTGTTGACGATAAAACTTTGTCAAGAAATTCCTCTCATCTAACCAGAATTTTCGTCTCCTAAATTTACTAGCTTTGATGCTCAAATCGGAGTAAGATGAGAAACAATTATTTGGGAGGGAGATGTTTGAATTCGTCTTAGGCGGAAGTATTTATAGATTTCCCTCAACAAGGGGTGTCCAAAAGTCCCGAACCGGACCAAATTGAATCTGAATCCGAACCGAATCGAATCGAGCGGTTCTTCATAAGTTAAATATCCGAACGGGTACCCAAATCGAGAACCGATGGATCTGAGTCGGGTCTCGGGTCTAGATCAAGAACCGAAGAACCGAACAAAAACCGAAACTAAATAATTTTTTTATTTTTTATATTGAATTAATTAAATTTTTTTAATTTTTTCCTATACAAATTAGCAAATTAATTGAATAAATTAGATTATTTCATAATTTTAATTTNCCAAGAACCGAAGAATCGAAACTAAATAAATTTTTTTATTTTTTATATTGAATTAATTAAATTATTTTATTTTTTTCTAAACAAATTAGCAAATTAATTAAATAAACCAGATTATTTCATAATTTTAATTTTAAAGCACAAATCATTTTTAAAGCACATTAGCCCATTTTAATTTGCTCATGACTACATGACTATTCGAATTTGCTCATTAAATTTAAAGCCTTCAAATGATTAAATCAAATAGTTGGTAAGTATTATTAATACTTTAAAATATTTTATTTTTATAATTTTTAATTTATATTTCATTTTCTTTATGCAGGCAGACTGCTTGAAGCAAATGAATTTATTTTATGTAGTGTTGCTGTAATATTGATATTTACTTTTTGGTATTTGTATGCATTGAATTAATTTTATTGGACGGCTAGTTATTTATATGTTTTTGAATTATACTACGTTAATTCGTAAAAGTTACGAATGAAATGTCATTAGTTGTATTTATATAGTGTTATTGTAAATATTAAAAAATTTAATTATGGTACGGAACCGAATCCGAACGGTTTCATAATTATATTTGGACCCGACAGTTCCATTTATTAAATACCCGAAAGTTTTGGGTCGGTTTGGTTCTCTTCAGAACCGAACCGAACCGACTCACGGACAGCCATACCCTCAACATTTTAGGACAATTTGATCAGTTAGAGAAATTTGAAAGATTACGGCCTCTTATTGACTAGCTTATAACAGATTATAGTATAATATCACATTTTATTTATTAGCTTACGTGTTTTGTATTAATTGGCTTTGAAGTCACGCTTGGAATGCTTGCTCACGTATACGTTAATAACGATTTTTAGCCAACTTAGATTGAAGAATTACTCGCTTATATTTCGTGCGGCCTTTTGTGCTTTAGTTCCTCTCACGTATCACTTATGAACGGTTTCATAATTATATTTAGACCCGACAGTTCCATTTATTAAATACCCGAAAGTTTTGGGTCGGTTTGGTTCTCTTCAGAACCGAACCGAACCGACTCACGGACAGCCCTACCCTCAACATTTTAGGACAATTTGATCAGTTAGAGAAATTTGAAAGATTACGGCCTCTTATTGACTAGCTTATAACATATTATAGTATAATATCACATTTTATTTATTAGATTACGTGTTTTGTATTAATTGGCTTTGAAGTCACGCTTTGAATGCTTGCTCACGTATACGTTAATAACGATTTTTAGCCAACTTAGATTGAAGAATTACTCGCTTATATTTCGTGCGGCCTTTTGTGCTTTAGTTCCTCTCACGTATCACTTATGCCTCATAAGTCATAAGCAGAGGGCGAAGTTCAAGAAGCATATTCCTCGGTTCAACGTGGAATAATCAATTTTAGCTAGAAAACTTAGCATCCATAAATGATACGGTAGTTGGTTGAAGGAAAATTTGGAAAAATATGCCCCAAAGGTCAACTTTAATTAATTGATTTTAAATGAGCAACATAATTGTAGTTTTGCCTTGGCTATATACGCTAAATTTCAGTTCTATAAAGCCCAAAGGTCTTCGATTTGATCCGAGTTTAAATAAAAGGTGGATATTTAAAATAAAACATACTCCCACTATCATTGTACATACTTTAGAATAAGGTGGAAAACAGGAGAAGGATAGGCTTAGCCCCCGTTTGGTAGAGATAAAAATCAGATTTTTAGTAGATTTTGATAAAAAGTTGATAAAACGTGTGATTGAAAAGTTGTGGATTCTATGAAATGAGTGATTAAAATTAATTGTTGACTTTGACTTGAAATTTTAATTGGATTTTAATCCAAATCAAACATGGACTTAGTTTTTTGTTGTTCTTTCCGTATAGAATATCTCTAATTTGAAAAACTAGATCGTTGTTATATGTTTAAACTAAAACGATTACCTTAAATTGAACATTAAATTTTGGGCTCTTTGCAGCACGAGAAAAAAGTGCATGAATATTGGACATAAAAATGTTCTTGGAAATGTAATTCGTTGGCAAGAACTTGGTAGAGACAACGTCTTAGAGAGTGTACTGAAGATTCTTTCGAGGAAGACAAATGCTGAATTTGGATCATTTAATAAATTATCTTCTTATTGTTTTCATTTTAATTATTTGCCATATACACACACTGCAGATTTTTTAATGAAATAATTGAATACTTCTTTTGTCCTTTTGATTCTCTTGTTCTTGAACTGGAAATAATAATTCATCATTACAATCTTGAATGAAAGATCTCTTTTTAAAATAAAACAAGCAGAAACAACTTGCTGTCTTTGACTTTTTCTGTGCTGGCATAGTGCTGGAAAAAGACCTATACGTTCAAATAGACAAAAGGACATAAATTTGGCACTGATTTCTCAAAATTCACTTATGTTAACTACCTTTTGATGAAACCACATATTTGATGAATGTTCGTCAGAATAAACAAGATTTTAGCTTAATTTTCTTAGTGTTTAGTATTGTCGAATCCTCCTATTGAAAATGTCATCACAGTATGGAAGATCAGTAAATTTGTTGGTAAGACCCTTAAAGAGATACGATGGTTGTGGGCTCAAAATCATGTTCATTGGGATCAGAAGATTTCGAATTTCAAATTTACCCAAATTCTAATCTTCAAGAACTGAAGGTGAAAAATTGGTTTTCTCTTCTTTTAGCTATACAGAAATATCATTACTAAACATTGTTCACTTAATGAACAAACTGCTACCGCCGTCAGCTTCCAGATTCAGAAATGCTTTGCAGAGATGGCCGCCATGTTTTAGACCGAGCAACGGTGAAATATGTTGATCCCGACTTTTGCCGATGACTAGTGTGTCTCAAGGGCTGCAAAAATGGAGATTATCATTAGTATCATATCATAGAAATTTATATAGTCTCTTGGGATGGTATGAAATTCTCTGCAGTTGTGATTTTAGTATCGAAATACATATAATCTTTTGTTCCCAATTAGTGTTACTATAAACCTTTCTTTTGCCTGAGGTCGGCTGCAGAGACCGAATCATCTTGTAGCCGCATGTTAGGTAGAGGATTGAAAAATAATCGACAGTATCAAGAGACAAAAGAAGTTAAAATCTTGTTCATTATACTATTAATCGAGACAAAAGAAGTTAAAATATTATTCATTATACTATTAATCGTGCCAGTGTATCAAATAGTTTTATTGTTCTTACCAATCTTTCCGTTATATTACTTTTTGTATATGCCAATCTAGTTTACAGTTAATGACTTTTTTTCTATAAATTTTATTGAAGCACACTGAATATTACCGCATCATTCTTCTCCCCTGCAGATTTTCTAGTTTCTGATTCGCAGCAACGACTCTGCATTTCTGAATCCACCGGCGTTTGTTCTGCGGATTCTGGCTGGATTTTCTTCATTTTCGCACGTTTCTTCGCTCTCAACACTTTCATAACCTCTGTAACACGAAAAATTAAACAAAACTTTCAGCTCATGCTTTATCGAGAGGATTAAATAGCACTAAACAGTGTTACATAAAGGAAAAAAAGGTATCTAGAATTTGTTGATATGAGATGAAGCAGATCATGAACTCACCTTGTGTGGTGACGAGTCGATAAGCTCGGCCAAGTACTAAAATATCCGTTGGCCGGAGAAGCTTAACGCGCGTGAAGCGTACCGTCTTGTCATCAGAATTCCCTTCTCCGTCGACCGGCAGAGGTATTATGAGAGAAACGTAATGTCCCGGGTTCATTTTCATCACCTCGCTCGCCGGCACCGGCCAGTACATTCTCTCTAGTTGGCCATTTGGATGCTGTATCACAAGTGCTGCAGCATCAACAGCTTGACAATTCCCCATTCTCTCTCTGTGTATGTATGTATATAATCTCTCTCTCTCTTACATATATATCTTTCTCTCTGTAGATAATCAGTTAGTATCTATAGAAATGTTTATGCAGAACAGAAGAAGAAGATGAAAGAGAGAAAGAAAGAGACAAGAAGGAACAGTAAGGAAGAACGTGAAGCAACCAATGGTCCATTTCTAACCATTTAGCCCCCCACCCCCACACGGTCCCCACCCCACCTCCAAGAATGGTAAAATAGTTCTACTTCAAGCCAGCCAGCCAGCCAGCCGTCCCTTCATTCCCCTTACTTATGATTCAAATTCCTAGATAGTAAACACTACTGTATTATGGAATCAATAATAGTAGGGAAATTTGCACAAGCGATGTCTAATCTTTCACTTTTTCATAAATTTTATCCTAATCTCCATTGTGTGCCACCCACAGTCCAAAACATTTCAAAAATATGCACCTGAGATCAAATAGATGGAACCGTTAGTTGACCAGAAAAGTCAAAATGTAATCAATTTTGACCAAATTAAAAAATGCAAAATGACATATTTACATTTTTCTAATATTAGCAATTGGAACAATTAAACTAAAAAAATATAAATAAAAGAAATCTACCCTACCCACCCCAACCCACTCCACTCCACCCAATCCAACCCAACCTATCTTCATCATCATTAGTGGTAATTTGGCTCGCTGGCTCGGCCCGAAAAAAGTTGACTCGTCGAAGCTCTTCGATAGAACCGAGCTGAGCCCCATTTTGAGGAGCCGACTTGAGCTCGAGCCCGAGCCAGCCTGTATGACTGGATGAGTCACACGAGCCGACCAGTGAAAAACTGCAAAACTTAAAAAAATATTGAAGTCAACAAGGCAACTTACCTGCTTTGCTGCCTTGGCTAGGCAACTACAATGTAGTAACTACGTATACGTTTTTACATTGTCAAATCATGTCATTGAATTTGAATCATTGATTAGTTTCAAAAAAATATGTAATTTTAAAATTTATTTGTTTCAAAAATATTGTACATGAAATATTTTATTTGTGTACAATTTTTAACTTCACCTACGTTGATTATAGTCGGTCTTAAACTCGAAAAAATGAGGAGGGTTGTAACTTTTATTTAATTTATAATTTGTATAAATTGAAAAAAATTTAAATCCTTTAAAAAAAATTTAGATTTGCTACAAATTAAAAAAAAAAAAAGAGTTGGTCTGGCTTGGCTAGTTAAGGCCCGAGTCGAAAGCTCGGGTCGAGCCTAAATTTTTTGGTCGAGCAAAAACTTGACTTTGCTTGGGCCAAAAAAACCTCGAAATATTTTTATTCGAGTCAAGCTTCGAGTTTCGGCTTGCGATTCAGCTCGGTTCGACTTGTTGACATCCCTAATCATCATCATTCTTATCTTCTTCTTCTTCTTCTTCTTCTTCTTTTTATCGGCAACGACCACTATAGTTGCCCACCCCTATTCATTTTCGTCTCCAAACTATTATACATCCAGCAGCTAATAGACCTGTAGCAAAAGTTGCTAAATCGTAGATATAGAACATGGGTACTATGGAGATGAAAGACGAAATTAGGTAATTGAAGGATGTAATCAGCGACCATTACTGTCAAATGTAAGCTCAAAATTATGCAATTTCCCAAGCGTAGCGCAAAGACTAGGAAATGACTGTGGATTTAGATTTGGGCGTGAGTGAAAGGCAGGAAAATGACAGTGTTTTTGGCAGTGGAATGGTGGTGGATTTGGGAAGTGGTTTTGGACGGGGGGAATGGTGGTTGATTTGGGAGGTGGTTTTGGGCGGTGGTTAATTAATTGCTGGCATGGATGTGTGATGGTGTCGGATGCTATGGGAAGAAGATGAAGTTTGGGTTGGGTGAAGGGGTTGGATTTTTTTTTTTTTTTAGGTTTTTTAATTTATTTAATGTGATGAAAATATAAAATACCATTTTGTCACTTTTAGAGCTTGTTTGGGAGGAATTTTAATTCAATTAAAATTGAAAATGTAGCCGATATTGGGTCTCACTCGTCTAATAAAAGTCAACAATAACAAGTAGTTTTTCAATTTTAATCTGATTTTAATCTCTACCAAACAAGCTCTTAATTTGATCAAAATTGATTACTTTTTGACTTTTTTGGTCACCTAACGATCAAATGGATGATTTATTTGGACCTCAGTGCATATTTTTGAAGGGTTTGAGACTGTATATGGTACAAAGTGAAGATTAGAGTAAAGTTTGTAAAAAATGAAAGATCAGGCACCGCTGTTGCAATTTTTCCAAAATAGGATTAGGATAATGATATGAATGCATGATGATATGTATCTATTTGTATGTATTGTGCATGTATATATCTAATTATTACTACGTTAGGATCAAGAGGGGCCGGCAATGTTGCTGAGATATTGGTGGATCGCCACGTGGTTAGTCAAAGGTGGTATGATAATCTTGACTTTACTAGTAAACTACTTATTAATTTTTACTTTACTAAGCCAAACATGCTCATACTGTACAAGTATGGAGTGACTTTCATGTTTAAAAAAATTGGTTTTCTTCAATATTAATTATGAAAAAGTGGAAGTCTCTAACCTTCGGAAACAGGTTCAAATAGGCCTCTAAATTTAAATTTCGAATATTGGCACTACTGTGCACTGCACCCCACTCGAGTCCCCCCCCCCACCCCCCGGCTGCAGTCATCCCTCCCCCCACAAACCCAACATTCCAAGCAGCCCCTCATCCTCTTTTCCTCTTCGTTTTATTTTTAATGTTAAAATCAGTTGAGTCTAATTTTATTGTCAAAAACATTACTTACATACCATATACGTGCAACCCTATTTAACGACATCGGTCCATAATGGCTTGCATTACTGCAAATGTCGTTTAAGGATGACACTCGAGATTTAAAAGTTAGGAATCTATTTGCACGTTAAAAAAAGGTGGGGATCCTTAGTATATTTCCTTTTAACTTTTTTATTAAACTGACTTTTATTAACAATTAATTAGCCATTACATTGCATCAAAATGCTTTATTTAAAAACATTCAATTAGTTTTAAAAAAAAGTTTAAAAAAATATTTAACATAAATTGAACATTAAAAAAACAATTAAATAGTGAAACAAAATTTTATTATGTGTTGTGCCTTTTTATAATGCATTGAAATGATTTCTATTTGTTTTTTTAAAAAGTGACTAGATTTTGCCACCAATATTTTGTATTTTACTGTTATAAAAGTGGGATCTGCCAGCATGAAGATTAGTCTTAAGATGCTTTAATAAAATAATGAACATTATTAAGAACCTTAAACTTTATTAAAATGCTGCTTTAAGCTTAAGTGATTTGGAATATTTAGTTTATAATATAGAGAATTAATTATGTCGGAAGAGAACTTAAACGCAAAGCAAATTCAAGCAAGAGCTCTTATTTGTTTTGTTTTAGTGTTGAATTTGATATTACTTTTATACCATAGAAGATGAGATCGTGAACTCGGCCATTTATTTATTAGAGAATTCATTCTTTTAATTCGGGTTGAGATCATTTATAAATTACATATTGAAACACGATCAAAAAAGGTAAATCAATTCTGACATGCTTTCATTGAGGTCCGAATAGGCTCGACATTCCGGTTTTCAAATTTTCTTTTTGCAATTTTAAAAGGGATTTTAGTGAATAAAGGGCAAGTCATGAACAAATTTTGATATCGAACTATTAAAGATGAAACAGGAATTTTGCTGAGGCTCGGGTCCCCCTGCAGAGTAACCTTGGTACCTCTGACGTCGAAAGACATGGCCAGAGTCTTCCAATCCACTTGCATTTTACCTAATGTCCTTAGCCACTGTATTCCCAGGATAACATCTGAGCTGCCCAATTCCAAGGGTAAGAAGTCCTCTTCTACACATTCGTGGTTGTGTAGAAATGATTGTACTATATATGACGCAAGACCGCAATCACAAATAGATCGAGAAAGATATTAGTTAATTAAAAAAAAAAGGAAATTACATATGAGTAATGTACAAGACGTAAGTACACATATACATACACAAGTATGGAGAAAAAACTTTAAATCTACTCGAAATATTTTGATTCTTGTAAACAAGATTCATCTCAAACTATTGCAAAATCCCCATGCTTTGAAATATTTTTCAACTACATGACTCACTTGTACTTGTAACCATATCTTATTAATGTGAGTGTACGTAAGCCATGTGAAGTGTTTGGGATCTTAGTTTGAATACATTAAGTATGAAATGGACTATTGTCTGTCCAAACATGACCTAAGTAGGGGACTAGAAAAATACTCAATTTCTTTATATTTATTAAAAGGGTTTTAACTTCTTGTGGCCATAGGCACTGGCAGCCATAAATATTTAATGCTGATAGTCTTAGTTTCCTACTGTTTGAACAGCTTTTAATGAGAAACTTGTTTTCCACCTTAATTTGTTTTTGGATTGTACTACGTGGGGTACATTAATTTTAAAACATTCTGAAGTTATTGTTTCAATTCGTGAACCTAACAAAGACTAATTTTGTTAGGTGAAGTATGCAATAATTAGCAATATTAAATAAGAAAAAGAAATTTCAAGTGGATATGTAGAGGTATTCTACTTATGACTTTCCCCTCGACTGTGTACAATTGTCCTAACATCACCTATCTATATAACGGGTAGTAAAATGTATCGTAACTCTCGATTTCGTTATAGTTGAATTATGTATGGTAAATGGGTGTAAATATCGAATTGAGAATAACCATTCTAAATGGCATTTCTTGTTATATTGCTCTATGTAGTAAGAGATCGTGCGTTTAATCCTTTACAATTTAATTCGTAGTGAACATTGCATGGACTTTAAAGAGGCAGTTCATTTAGGACATTTGGTATGCTAGTTGGGAAATTGATAAACAAGATGATTGAAAAAAAAAAGTTAAATTTTTATTAATTGTAATGTTTAGTGTTAATAATGCTACCAACCAAACATGACCTTAACGGGCAATTTATTGTATTGGTCGCTTTCTCCACA